GGTCCGGAACCTGCTGCTAGTTTTGTTCTCGCTGGTTATAAGCAAACAGAAAAGGTGATGACAAAGACGGGGAGATAACTTTCCATCGCTCCTCCGGCAGCGGTCCGGCTCAGGAACCAGCAGGGAGCTCCGGCCCCCGCTAAGACCCACGACTCCGATTTCCACCACCCTTCCTTAAATTTCCTTTTCTGACTGCAAATTTCAAGCCTGGCCACCGGAGTTTATGCAAGTAATTATGTTTAGCTGGTATTTGGCTAAATCTAATGAAGCAATGATAAACAGCTCAGCATTTTCTTCCCTGATGAATAATGAATATTAATTTGGCTGTCAAAAAAGAACCTCTGCTCGCTGCAAAAGATTAGATTCCCGTGCTAAAACTTGGAGAGGGGATAGGATTTCACCACGAAGGGCGGCGTTTTTGGGATAGCCTGCGTCTCCTCCTGTACGCACCCACGCAGGGGGGAGCCGAGGCGCCGCACGCCATCCCCACGTGTGCTATAGCACAACTTTGCTTTTGAAGGATTTTTCCTACCGGGTGAGGGCCTGGGGAAAGGCGAACACGAGGACATGGCTCTTCCCGGGGGTAGGGCTGGAAGCCTGGATGGAGAGGGCAGGCTGGGCTCGGGCGCCTGCCTGCGGAGCGGCCGACAATCCCCGTTTCACCCGTCGGTCTGTGGGTTTTTTTGGCAGAACCAGGCTGAGCACGAGCTGCGAAGACAGACCAGGCACCGCGTGTCCCACGCCACCGGCAGCAGTGACTCCAGGAATCCCCCTCCCGACGGGGAGTGCTGCTTTCTGTAGGAAAATGGCACAAAAGTCTCCTACAGCCTCTTCTCCTCCGCATCTGCAATCCCACTGAACTTACGGTGCGTCTCTGCGCCTCCCAGTGAAACCAAGAGGACACACTACGCTGTGTCCCATGTGCAATGCCTTACTTTTAATTACTTTGCTTATTGCTTGATAGCTTTTTTCTTTTATTTTATTACTTCACTACATAGTTTTTATTACTTTGCCGCGTGCCGGTGCGGTAGCTGTCGTGTGATGCCGTTGCAGCTCAGCTTCCCGGGCTGGCAGGAACGGGCAACTCTAATTAACACGGCTGAGGCTTTCGGCTGCACAAGAGGATCGCGGCCCAACTAAGAAACGCCAGGACTTTTTTATTAGACAGGATATTGCCAGCGAGCGAGACGCAAGGCCAGAAAGCCAGCCTGGTTTTCAGCAAGAGGCCGAGCGTACCTATACCTCTGGTTTTACATATGGCACATTTATGCACGGCCTGGGCATTAAAATGTAAATCGCCACGGACCATCTGCTGCACCTATTGCCAGGCAGAATTTACAGCGGCATAACAGTGACAAATTATACAGAGAAATCACAAAAAGCTGCCTAATACATCTTAGGAAAGATTTTGGAAGTTACCTGAGTTCAGCTGGACCGCCTTTTCCCGGCTGTAAATCACTTCCCTGCGCTCTCAGACCGGCTGCAGCTGGAATTAACATCTGTGGCACACGGGATGAAAAGCTCAGAGCAGCCCGTGCTGGAAAAACAACTCCTCGGCGTCCTGAGCCTTAACCACAGCGAGACGAAGCCCTGACGCGCGGTAGCAGAGAACAAATCTTTGTGCATCGACAGACAGAAGCGTGTCTCAGGGAAACTTGTAAATAGCTGGAAGGTGGAAAACTGTTTCAGAGACTCAATGTTCACCGCGCCGGAGAGCGAGCTGCTCCAGAGCATCTTCCCTGCCTTGAGAATAAGCCTCTTTTGGCTGCTCTGAATCCTTTCCCATTTTCGGTCTGACCGTGAAGCGTGACAGCGAAGCGGAGGCCGGGTGCGGAGCTGCCGGATTTTCTCTGGGAAGCAGAAAAAAGGCTCCCAAGGCCGGAGAGCCTTCAGCACCTGGTGAACATGAAGCAGCCAATTTGTACGAACGCTCTTACCAGTGATGTTCACATCTACTGGAGCCGTTACATTAATGCTCAGGAATGATCACACCCACCACACAGCTCGTTATGCTCCGCAAAAATTTAATGGCAAATGAAACGTGCTGCTGTGGGTAAATCGATATTGTTATTCTCTTTTGGCAAACTACGAAATATATTGTTTTCACAATGAAAGCCATCATGGCAACACACTGGTGTTGGGTGGAGGAGAGGGAAACCAGGGGACGGGAAGGAGTATGTGACCTCCCGCCGTGGTCGTGTCCCTCTCCTGGTGCCGGCTGGGTTTGTTCCGCCACCCGCACACCGCCCGCCCTCACCCCACGAGGGTTCCCAGACCCCTCCGCGTCTTCCGAACAGGGCAGAGAGGTTTTGCCCCACCAGGCAGAGCCTTCGCTCTCCGGCCGTGGCGTCTCCCTGCCGCATTGTCCCCCAGCCCCATCCCCATCGCTGCCTTCGGCTGCCTCTGCACCGGGGAGGCTTGGAGGATGGGGCAACATCGCTCTTCTTCTCCCCGCTATCACATTTCGGTTGCTGGTAGGAACGACCGGGTGAGCGCGCAGTGTGAACACAACCAGGCATCATTTATTTCAGCAGGGAAATGATCCCAGAGCTCTGGCTCCGTATCCAGGCGGGAAGAGGTACAAGTGATGGCCGTCCCCGCTCCTTCGCCTCCTTTCTCCGAAGTGTTCAAATTACCGAGGAGACGTTTCGCCTCACAATTCACGTCTTTGTATCTTAATTCCTATTAGCATTTTCTCATCAAGCGGCGGCTGGCGGGTGAGGATGCTGCGAGCCCCGGCGCAGGCAGCAGCGTGGCTGGCAGCCCGCGGGAGCGGAGGGGATGAAGCAGCTCGTGCTCGGGGCACGGGGCGGGAGCCGCGGGGAGCTGCTCCCACGGCCGCGATCGCTCCATCCCGTTGGCCCAGGCCGCCGTCGGAGACGCACAAACTGTTTGTAATAAGTCCAAACGCGCCGCGGCTTCAGCAGCTGCAACAGCCACACGCTGGGCTCTAAAAATACTGGCGTGTGGCTCTCGCTTTCTGGCACTTTCTCCTCGTGTTTTTGAGTGAAACATCAAAGCCCAGCCTTGGCGGAGGATCTGAGCTCTTCGCCTTTACGGGTGTGTGTTAATCTGCCACTTGACAGTCGTTTTTAGCAGCGCGGGAAATGCGGCCCTGGTGCTGCTGCCGCTGCGGGATGCCCAGGGATGGGGGTGACCCCGAGCTCCGGCATCCCACGGGATGCTCCTGCCGCCAGCCCCATCCCAGCCCGGCAGCCCCTGGCTGCTGTGGGGGGGCCCGGGGGGGTCCCCCCGGCTCC